AAATTGCAAGGATGAATCATTTAACGCGGCATGAGGAGGAAGAACATCCTAAACTTCCAGTTCATGTTGAATTTTTGGTTATTATTACAGTCAAGACAGGTTTACATCCAGCGTAACTGAAATGGTTAAGTACTGTAATACATTTGCTGAAGAATCAAACAAGACTCATCAAACTTATTTCCTCCCTGTCTATCCCTCCGAAGGAACAGACGGATCATCTCACGTAAAACGTTAGAGAATACTTGGACATGTGTGTGTTAGAGCTGGCGCTATTACAATTTTCCCCATGCAGGCTTAATTAGTCGGCTACGTGGAGATCTACCACGAGCTGCATTCACCGAGTCTACGCAAAAGTCAAGTCTATAGGCTAGACAGTATTATCACTACGATTGGATATCAACGTGAAAATCTTGGTATCTGGACTTTTATCTGAGTCACTGGTAAGTGTGTCTGACGCTCAGCTGCTTCAGACTAAACAAATCATACTTCGCACATCTGTTTGCATGTTATCTGACCATAACATATTATGGGGCTGTAAAATTCCCATCAGCAGTAGATGGGAGGGTGAACAATCTCAAATTTCTCCTAGTTTCTGAACCAGTGTTTTAATCTTGCGTGATGTCAGAGCAAAGCGGCATATAACGACATCCTGTTGGTCCGACAAATGCAGTAAGGTGATGAACTGAAATGGCTGTGCAGCGCTGCCTTGCATCGATGGTGAACCAGAAATTGTGACTGCCTAGTGCCAATACACGTCTCTGCGTAACTTGGGCGAACATAGCTCAGGTATGGGTAAGCGAATATGAGAAGCGTTAGTACAGAAACAAACAATTCTGGATCCTTAAGGAAAGTAACAAAGGTGGTAAAAACGTTAGTAGGTTGAATTTTCATAGGACGGGCAACCTAAAAGTTGTACGCTTCCGAACTCAGGGGACTTGTCCGTAAGAAAACAATGAAAATTCATCCTTAGGTTAAAAAACCGTCATACAGTGAATGACGCGGTCGAAAAAAGCGATGCATGATCCGAGTACACAAGTTCTGTACTCTGAGTGCACAAGTAGATGAAAATGTTCGAAAGTAGATGAGGTGCACTCACTGGAAGAAAGGCCAGTCGTTCTTAACACTATGGGCTGATGGATTTTCTGGGAGAAATTTGAGCTCGTCAATACTGTAAGGAGAGCAATCCATAAAAGGCAGCAACATTTTCCTATGTTCGCGACTGCACGGGGTCGAGCATCATGCCAATTGGTCTTCAATGCTAGTTACGGTTGACGGTCAGCTATTTCCTTCATGAAGTTTGGTTTAAAGATATACACACTTTGGCTGGCTAGTAATGTGGGTAACCAAGCATAGTTAACCCATCCACTGTAAGTACATCACCTAAAAGTGTGAAGCAGGAGTGATACGGCCCGCAACAAACTTTGACAAGCGAATCATTTTAAACTAAGGGCCATCTGACGCTCCAACTCAACGATGCAGCTTCTCGTAACTATCCAACAGTTTTGCTCGTATCACCTTGGTTTCCCCCCGTCCAAAAAACGCGTAACTTTGACAAGCGAATCATTTTAAACTAAGGAGCATCTGACGCTCCAACTCAACGATGTAGCTTCTCGTAACTATCCAATAGTTTTGCTCGTATCACCTTGGCTTCCCCCCATCCAAAAAACGCGTGGAAACATCATAAATGTGCCTACTGCACATTAATCAAGTGCTAGACTTTCGTAAAATCCAACTCAACCCATTCGAGAAATCACTTCGCCTCAGCAAGAACTAGGAAAACTACCGGAGTAGTAACAAATGTAGATTCGCATTGGCACCTGGTGTTTCAAAGTTCGTGTAAGGCTTTAGCAGAACAACCTTACTCATTACAGTGTCCCTAAATATAGTATTTACTCGGCTGAGACGTAGTTGAACGACAAAACAGATTTAATCCAAATAGGCATCTGTGTGACAATCAGTCACTAAGGCGAGATACAGTAACTGAAAGTTCACCGGGACCATTCATGTACACGCATCAAACGGAAGAAAAAAGGTTAACGCGAAGCTCGGTCATGATTAGTCAGTTCGCTTGGATAACGCTCAACTTCCGTCCTACCTCGACGAATCGACTTGAAAACCTGACCGAGCTTGGACAACCGGGGTTGGTGCGCAACGAGCCCGTTGCTAGACTCGTGAGCAATTGTACATCTGGAGGCAAAATGTTGGGCGGGGTAGGACAATGTCGCGACGGTTTCAACGACAGGTTCGTCCATAATCCGAGTGGCTGGAGGAAGGGTGTGGGCCTGCAGCGACGAAGAGATTGAACGGTATAGCACAAAGGGTTCCGAACATTCGATATAGTGGACTGCTCAGAGAGAGTTCAGTTTCGAATGCACCACTGGTGCCAGTGGGAAGGATAAACAACTCAGTAACATTAGCTCGGTCGCACGAAATACTTAATTTTAATATACGTGGTATGAAAACAAGGCTTCAAAGAAAAGGTTGTATGAATGGTTCCTGGCAGCCATGGCATGGTGAATCCCATAAATAGCGAAGATTGAAGGCACCCACGGGGCTTTCCTGACGAGATGCTACTCATACGGTTGCTGAGGTCTCCTCGAGTTCGCCCTTATTGAGGCTCATCATATAAAAGCAGTCCCTTGAGTTGCCATCAACCAGGTGAACCCAAATCTCACAAGATTTTCGAAACACACTCAGTTGCAGACTAACTGGGTTTTAAAGGGGGACAATTGAATGACACCTTGAGCTTTCGTCTACGAATTGAATGTATCGCACCCTCAGAGAGACCTTTCTACCAATCACCTCCTTCAACAAACACCGTCTGTTGAAATATGCACATAGATCGTTCAGCATTAGCTTGGAAATGAAGGTTCTGCACACACCTAAGAGGATTTAAACATATACCTAAACCATTGGAGTGATTCTCAGAAGGCCTTACGTCAGATAACGTATATTTGACAACAACGGACCTAGAATCGTACCAAACCGTGTTCATCATTTGTCTTGTGAAACCGTCCTGAGTGCATTCTCTCCATGACATCCAGTTGCACTCCACCAGTCATGTCGTACCAAAACACCTGACAAATACGATGTGGAGCAATACACACTCGTGTTGCCAAGCGAGAACAGTAACACCGGCTGAATTCGGAGACAAATGCACTTTGTCCACGTTCTCTGTTCAGTTGAACCTATGGAATCCGAATGCCCTTGTTAAACAGATATCAACCCGAACGTTGTCTTCGCAAACACGTATTCGCTGAAACATGAAGTCAGTGCACTAGATACCCACTGGCTTATTTAGGCGGTGGTTTGAACAATTGCCTGGAGGACTAGGTAATGTCAACTTCACTCTCGAAAAGACAGTCATCTTGCTTTGCTATTGGCCACGAAGTAACCTGATAAGCTAAGGGTCAGTTAAGCGGCAGGGCAGGATAGCGTTTGGTGACCTGACAGAGAAAGTGCGACCTAAGCATTTGGCGTACGGTCCCATCGATGGCACTTTTTTTGCAAAGTTTACAACAAAAATATATTCCCAATATATTCCCAATTTTGGGAAGTGACGACGAAAGGGAAAGCAACCCGATGCATACGATGAAGAACTACGTTCTACCTTAACGGTTTCCTAGGTGTTTATTCAATGTACTCAGCTCACTAGAGATTCTTCAATCAAACTCAGCGCTTGCGCACTTTAACGCACCTCGACTATGTTAGCGGACATTGTCGTCATTTGTTCCTCCGAAGTCCAGACTTTTATCAGAACTACACCGAAGTTCAGAAACAGCATACTCCTGCACACCGTCTCTATTTTGTTGAATCGAAAACCCATTAACGCTGCCCTCAAAGATCGTCTCAAACATTACATCTGCACTATGACTTTACAGGGAGACATCCAAGTATTCGCCATCTGCGAGAGTTCAGATACTCATTAAATAGTCTTGCCAATGGTTTGACTTCTAACAAGACAAGCTAAATGTGCATGTGGACTGAGCACTGCAGTAGCATTGATAGGTGAGGACATGAGAAACACAGCTGTGTGCGGTATTCATAATAACATGGAATGTTCCGTGAGTAAGTTTGCCTTAGGGGCTCGCTAGTCGAGATACTGTCTTCATAGTCCAACTGTGATTGAGAAATCGCTGCTGCTGGCGGGTCTCAGTGTGAAAGGACGGTTGCTATCAGTCAACACCATCCGACAAAGACGTTCACCGCTGTTATGCATATGAAGGTAGGTTGCATGTTTTTACGGGTGTTTGTGAATATTGCGGTCTGCTACTTCATTAGCTGAAGGTTTCTTACGAAGCTGTCGCGGAACGTGAGGCACATCGAAATAAGTCTACCATATGCCTCGACGGATCATTCCAACCATGGTTATTATGCGACTTTCCAGATCTATCCATTTGAGGTTACGTGGTACCAAAATACTCAGCAGCTAAACAAAACGTGTCTGGGTGTGTTGCCTGGCGTAAATTCATGTTGCTTGATATTTCGAAAAACGGTGAGACATGAGATTCTTGATACCTTGATTAACTCTATTGTTGAATTGAAGCGACAGCGTGGTACGTTATCTACTTGATATCTACAACATTGTCTTTTCTGAGGACTCATCCACCGAAACATGTGAAGCCACTGATTCACACAGGACACGCTTGCGTACCCAATCCCCATCGATTCAATTCAAAGGTACTCCAAAGGATATAGTAATGAGGCGATTGAATGCATCTCTGTTGGTTTGGTAGCCAACTACAATGACCTTCGATGCAGTACGAGAAAACGTGCAGTAACGAACACTGCAGTACGGTCACATGGGTCTGGGAAAAGTTGTGCACTGTTGAGAGACGATCGCAATGAGGCTCTAAGTTGTGAGGATTCTTTCTGAAAATAATTTGTTCCCAAAACCGCCGAACTCAAAAAACGGTTGCGATTGAGAAACAGATTGACATCTAAAAGCGCTGGCTGAAAACGGGACTATCTTAAGTTAGGTACACTAGCACAGCTAGAAATCACGGACATACCTTGTTTTCCGAGCCATATTTCATCCCTTGAAGCCGTCCCAAAATATTTTGGGGCATTCTTTCATCCAATTTTACTAAAATAAAAAGTAAGGAAGTAAAACAGAAACGAAAATACAATTAAATAGACTTTCACAGACTCATCCATAAACAGAATAAAGCAAAGGGATAGGAAGTCAATAGGAAGTCAAATAACTGGGAAAGCTCACGAACAACCAGTGGAAAGCTAAAAAGTGGAGCTCATCTACGAAGTGGCACTGTGCAACAGGGTATCAACTGAATACACAATTCTGGTGGATATTGTCCACTATTTCTTTCAACAAAAACACGTATAGACCCATTCTTCGGTCTCAACTCAATGAGCCATACACCTGAGAAACATCAAAAATTCGTTCTCCATAGAAAAATCCACCTGTCTACACAATAAAATAAATCTCAAGGTCGCTCGGCAGTATAGGATGTCTGAGGTTACTCATCAACAGTGGAGGAGATTTAGGGCTCCCCAAATGAGGTTCCGTCCCGTAAGTGAAGTATATCTGTACTGAAAAATCGAGGGATAGTGTCTCAGCTTTGTTGAGAATCATCAACTATGCGCATCCCACGAATCTCCAGGGGGTTTCTGATATTAATCGGCAAACATTCAGGAACGAATTTCCCGCTACACTCTAGTGTAAGTACAATCAGATTAAGGGACAGTAAGGTAAGACAAATTCTGGTGTCCTAAGCTACGTCAAATAGGTAAAATGTGGTATATGTGAGGCTACGAGTATACTTGATAGTCTGTGTTGCTTTTACGTGCACAGGCCATCTAGACGAAATATCGCGATAACAATGTTGGAAAAATCAGAAGCAAACCAAAGCCAGTGCAAACAAACAATGATGTTCGGTTAAACGCGAAATGAGCGATTACAGTGATATCCGTAGTAACAAGATTGTAAATAACTATGCCGTTATGATAAACCAACAGACGTCTAAGATTGCCAGAGTAACTGAGAGGACTGATAAACATACCAAAGCTGCTGTCACAAACTAATTCGCTAGAAGAGACCCATTCGGAAGCTCCTGAAAAAGTGTGAAAGACGGGGCGACATTGTACAACCGGATTCAACAGTGGCACTGGCTCCCGCTCATATGTGGTGTACTGATACCGACAAAACCGAGGCGCGTGAGGTCCACTAAAAAGCGTCTTCGGTCCATCGTGCCGTGAGTCACTAGAGCTAACCTCAGAGGAAGACTCCGAGGGATCTGAATCGGGCGGGAAAGCAGACAGTAGTGCATTTATTAGTAAGGCGATATAATGAAATCATTCCTTAATGGTTGTCAGTAACTTCACGGACATTACCATGGTGTCATCATAACGGAAAGCCATCGTGCTAGTTGTTTTAACGTAAATAAAAGGCGAGTAAGCAGAAATTCTCCAAAGCACCCCAGGGGAAAGCAAGATTGCTTCGAACATTCACGCGTGGTCAATGAGCGAAACCCAAACAAGACACTACCGGCCTGAAAAAAAGTTCGACAGCAAGCACACTGCGGAATTGAAAAGCCCGTCAACTTATTAACAGAATTTATCAACAGCATCTAATGCAACATTAGGTATGATTCGTCGGGAATGCAGCCATGCCCAAGTTATGGAAAGAACCTCAGTGGAATACTAGAGACTACCTCGATGAGAATTCTTCCTTGAAAAAGAAGGGAATATAACTGATCGCACTGTATACAGTAACTAAATTCTACAGACGTAATACGCTACTCACAAGGTTGCTGAAAATCCTTCTTCAGCAACCCTATGAGTAGTGTATTACGTTTATACATGCATCGCGATACCTCGAATATAGTAACAACCAAAACATGAGGAGGCCTGGTGCAGCACGTTCAGTTGCTTAAAAATATCATAAACGAGAGATTCAGCCGGGTTCCAGGTGAGTCTCTCAAAATAAAAACAAATTTGCTTGCACATGAGTGTATTCCGTGAACTGAACTCCAGTTACGTTCGGGTGATGAAACGCTTCTTATAATGGGATTTCCTGCTCTTCTGGAATGAAAAAGTCATACATGTAAGGTTATTGCACATCTGTGACCGATAGAAACCAGTGCAGTGTGGTCCAACGGGGCCGGCCAAACAGCACGTAAACACAGTCTGTCTACTGCTCAGCTGGAGGACATGATATGATGATTACGACAAGATAGAATACCTCGGTTCGGAACTCTCTGAACGTGATCGGTACCCCCTGAAGAGTCAGATCGCCCTCGTTGGCATGAAACTGCCATACAGCAGGTTGTAATGTATGGAGAATCAGTGTATCCCATTTACCTGGCAGTTTGAAAAAGGAGTACTCACCCATAGCTGACACTGAGGAATCGGGCTGTTCAAGATGGATGGCCTCGTCAGTACTACACACAGGTTGAGTCAAATGTGGCAGTTCAACTTCGACAGCAGTACAGCAGTTGGATGAAGTGGAACGATCCGCGCAATCACTTTTGTTCTCTTCTATTCCAGTTCCATCAGGATCCGTGAATACTGTCGTTGGCTTTAAGGGACAGCTGAAATCGGGAGCTGGCGAATAACATGCCAAGTTTGATTAGTTCAAAAGTAATAACTAGCAACAACATTCACCACTGACAAATCTAACGGTAGGCGGTCAAGAAAGTCTGGAAAAAGATGGTGGGGCACCCAAACATAACCGAAAAGCTGAGGATCAACAAATGGACAAAGAAGAGACATAATGAAGGAGTGCAACTTTGGAGGTGGTAGCAACTATGTGAAAGCTGTAGCCCACTGAAGATTCGCTTAGTTTTCACGCAAAGACAAACATTTTGTCCGAGTCAATTGACCATCCTTACATGGTATGACTTGAATAAAACAAATGGTACTTTAGGACCTGTATTAGAGCTTTAGCCAGGTAACGTCTGAGGTGACTTGTTATAACCGAAATCTCGTTGGTTGAGTTGTTGGGGTGATGGTTCCCCGTGATGTTAGGGCACTTGAGTGAGTATGGTGATGCACCTCTGGAAAGACTATTCCTTTCCACATTTTAGCATTCCCTACATCACACTGAAGCGCAGCGAATTGTCCGAAGCTCCACGGACACTGTCGATTATCTATAACTGTATGCAGCATTCGATGGAATCTGGTTACACTTCAACGGGTTAATATTTACTAATGATTTCATTAAGCAGCTGAGATGAAATTTCATTATGCGGTCATGCTGACTTACTAGGATAGATTACTGTTCGGAATACAGGAAGAAGCGATGAAAAACGAAGGCACGGTCTCTTACTGATTGTTCTGTTGAGTACTGTTATGCTAGTCAGAACTCTTAAAGTCGATTGGTACAAACCAAGACCCGCTATGAAGACACGACATATGTGACACCCGAGGGCACAAACTAAGGGAAAACGTGTTCACCTGCCCAAAGTAGTAGAAAGCAACCGGGGAGCAGAAGCTACGAGCGAAGGTTAATAGTGACCACACAAGGACAGACCAAAAAGAATGAGCGGGGATTTAGTTCCGGTTCAAACGGTTATGTTGATCGTCGGGCAACGGTTGTTTCATTTCTTCTCACTGTTCTCCAGGTTTCATACGGCTATTCACCAACTACGTTCGAGCACGAAGTCTAGTGTCATGAGCGTTACCCATAAATCCGTACCAATGCAAAAAAGGAATTCGGTGACTGAATTGCAGTCAGTTGACTTGCAAGTCCCAAGCGGGGTGAACAGATCAAAAGCCACCTGATCAACAAACGGGGAACCATATGGTCTCTGTTGAAGAAGTTCTATTGAGTGCCTTTTCGTGGCGCTGCATCACTGAAGTGGAAGGTCGAAAGCGGGTGTCTGGCGATATAAACTGACTGACGATCCAGTAGTTGTCAGTCTAGGCCAGACAGACTGGGATCACATTGTCGTCCAACAACCAAGGTGGGTGCTATTCAGCCGTTCACCGAAAATCCCCTGCTGCCTTGTGGGTCACACTCGCTTGAGCAAAGGCTGGAGGCGGTCCCGAACAAACAGTTCCACTGGTTTGCGGGTGGCTCCCTTGAGAAAACCCCCTACCTCACTCTATGCAGTATCGTGCTCATTAACAGATATACGGGTATAATCTGCAGGGAACCGCAAGAACTCTATAAGCTTTAGTAGCTCGGATAATTATATTCGAGCTGCGCGCCCATGAACGGACAGGTTGCCTCATTTTTCACACCAGATATTCAGGTGTTACGTACCAATCAGGATCCTATGGTAACTGACTTAAGATAAACAAAGGGCAGGAGAACTACAAATCGATAGTTACTGTTGGAAGTCGAGCAGCGATTCCAAGCCACGAGGAATCCAGTTCACTGGATCTCTTTACTATATACAGGAACAGAGGAACGAGGGCTCACTGTCACAGTTTCTCTGTAGAGAAAAAACAAGCACCATGGTAGATTGAGGCGCACATCAGCTCGGTATTCAAAGAGCTAACGCTCGTAAAAGCTTGGAAACTGGTAGGAAGTTGCAGAGAAGGATTACTGTGTGGAACGGGGGAACAAACAGTTCACACGCAGCACACATACAGACACTCAAACAACTCCCTTCACGCACATTAGAGCCAAAAACTCGGCTTGAACCATGATACACGGTGACAGGCCTGCGCTACTACTTTATTGGTGCGTGTTAACTTGGTTGTGAAGACCCCTGACAAAAGCTACCCATATTAGCAAGAACGTTGGGACTTTGACACCAAACACCTAAAAATCCGGGCTTTGATGTATCAACCGACTGAGTTGAATTCTCATTACACGACTAAGTTTGCGAAGGAAAATTGGTCACCAGTTAAAACCCTCGAGACTGATGCTCTGGGGAGACACCTTGTTCAAACCAAGGAACTAAAAAACTTCCCGAAAGACATTTTGCTGCAAAACGAATTCACTCTCGAGTGGCATCCAAAGCCTCTGCAGACATTCCTGCGGGACGGACCATCGGTACATGAGCCTTTTAAGCAGCAGCAAATATGGCTATCCCGTTCTTGTGAAATCGTTTCGCGGCGATGACATTGTTTTGTCCCGACAGGCGAGGCATTTAGACTTTAGTAACTAGTGAACGTCACCTAATGCTTCAACATACAATAGTAGCCCACTTTACCACACTTGAAACAGCACTTGTTAACTACGGCTTGACGCGCTGACGAGTGCTGGAACACATTTTAATACAGTCAAGGATATCAAGCTAATTTTACCTCCAGGCAACGTTCTAGCAAAGTTTGAGTCGGCACCGAGAATATCCGAAACCGCCACTGGTCATGAATCCCGATCACCAACAAGGTCCGAGAACGTCATAGCCGGAATTTGAGTTCCACAACTTCGCCTTGAGTAAGGCGGCATGACATGGATTTCGTCTATATTCGGCACATTTCAGGTGTGTCGCGAACTAGGTTGGTTACCAAAAAAGGCTAGTTCTGTTTCTGACCACAATTTCATCAGGTCCCTTTTCCATCTATCAGATACCTTGATGACAGCAGAAATGCAATCGGCCACCATAATCAGCCATCTTTACGATATCAGTACCTGAAGGATAGAGGTCTTTTGAGGTTGCGCGGTTGATTCGGAAACTATACTCAAAGCCGTATACTGTAACATCAAGATGAACGGAGTTCTCATGCCCTTCAGATCTACGCGATTCAGTTATGCTGCTTTAAGGATGCAAGATCAACATCCAGTATTTTCACATGGGTGCTTAGGAATCAACCTTAAAGTACAAGGCCGGCACCTCGAGATAACAGCGCAGAGCTAATCAGTCCAAAAGATCGCTAGCACAGTGGGAATAGTTCGTTCCTCAGAACCTTGTGCTATTTGACGTCGTCGCTCTGGAGATTGCGTAAACACAAGGATACAGACCGAGTGATAATACAATGTATTGACGAAGAGGGTGAAATCGATGGATGCGGTCGTGTTCGCTGACGAGGGCAAACGGTCGAGTAGCAATTGAGCGCCACCTGCAAACATGTCACTGTAATAATTGGGGGACTAAAAACTACCGTGGGGCTAAACCCACGGTGTAGCATGTCCTTACTTATATCTGCTCCAGGAAAACTGCTGACATATCTAACCCAAACTGAAATTTCTGTTAACCCAAACATGTACTTCAGTAATCTCGTTCATCAGTTGCCCTTTGAGCTCTCTGTACTTATTAGTACCTTGGAGGTATCACACCTCATTGTCTGTTGGGTCAGATTAACATCCCCATTCCAAAACTAATTATGATAGAAATGAAGTGCTACGATGCTTCTTAATGAAACCTTATTTAGTTACCCTAACTTGGGCACGGAGGTATAGCGAAGCTAGGCTTCAGGTGCAAACCGGAAAGAGCAGTCATCATAAACGAAAAGAGTCAAAAAATGATATCTGTAACAGCAACAGTAGTTTTCTGACCTCCCCCACAACTTACCCTGCGAGAGAAAACGAACAAAAAATTCAAACAGCTGTTGTTTTATGTTTGCAAAGCTTAGCGCCTACTAACGTAGGAGATGGAAAATGAATTATCGACAGCAGTGGGACTATGATGCCCCTTTCAACTGGGAGAAATGAAAGATAAGATGAGTTCCTGCTTCGTGGTATTGCAGAGTTGGAGGCTGGGCCCGAAACGAATCCAGGATGAAATAGGGTCATTACAACCTTACTTTTTAATTGCCGACTTAGGAAAGTAGTCATGATCATCAGGTGAACGTAGTACCAATACTGCGCAAAAAATGCTGCACTATGCAAGATTACTGAAACTCTTATTCAGATGAGACAGGCCAATGAATTATCCTCTGTGGTTCAAGAGTTAGGGATTTTCTTGTCAGAACCACCTTCCTTTAGGCATTTGTTCAACTATTTCTTGGTAGAGATCCTGTTTTCGAATGGGCACCATAACTGGCTGCGACATGCAAACGTCTAAACACGCATGAAACATACCGTCTTGGTTGGACTCATTCAGCAAAGTAAATGCTTTCTCAAGTAGATGAACCGTCGCCTCCAGTTTGTTCTCCAATGCACCCAGTCGGTCTTCAACTTGTCTGGTCCGTATATCCAATCCGCTGGCACGACTTTGAATTGCCAAAAACCTATCGATATCAGCATTTTCTTCGTTAGGAGAAGACGATGACGAAGAAGCCCAGGCAAGTTTGGTCTCCAACTCATGGAGGCGATCCAAAACCATTTGTTTGTGGCCATTGAGAAAAGTATATTTGTCCGTGACCTGAATCATCATCATGAGGCTTTCATTCTCGCGAGCCCGCAGATCAGTCAACTGAAAATTAAGCTTTTTGCAAGTGCGTTTCAATTCGGCGTATCGTTTGGACAAGACTGAGACTGCTTGCTGACTGTGACTTAAATCAGTCCGCAGTTGTGCGATTGTTCGTTCGTATTGGCTTTCCATTTCGCACACACTTGCAGCATGATCACCAGATTCCTTTGCCAAAAGAGCTTGAAGTCGTTCAATCTGTTTGCAAGATGTCAAAATTTGAAAAGGACAGGTTACTGCAGAAGACTTTTCAGCTAAGATAAAAATAAACTAAGCTAACAAGAAAAACCGAGGCACACTGAATGAACGTTTACGATCAAACTTTAACCATTATTTTAATCGCTATTGACAATAAGACATGCATTCTCCTTGCGATCACACTGGCCTTACGGCTTTGTGAGTTACTACATCCAATTAACCCCCTGTGGAGCGACACACTGGCGTGTTCTAACAAAGCAAGCTATTCAGGGATGTCATTGCATGGAATAGCCGTGATAACAACTAAACCTAAGCATATACTACTGCTTCGTGTATGCTGCTCGGTAGAAATAAGGTGCTCATCATTTGATGAATAGGAATACAATCCCGGCGAAGTTGGTCTTCAACGCACATACTGATTATCGAAATCAAAAGGCTTCTGCAGCGTCGAGAATGGAATGACGCCAAACCAGGTTCAGGCCAACCAAAAAGTGAGAGTCGAGGTTCCAAAATGAGCGAAAATAGATAGCTCTCTTGGAATTCGAAAGCAGCTTTAAAAAAAACTAACTCATTCAGGGAGAAAAACAATAACCTCACCCAACAGTTTAACAGAAAAGAAAAGGCTGACAATTATTGCTGAAATGAAATCTGCGACAAAATCATATGTACCTAAAGATTCTGAAAATGTTCGTCAGAAAAAGCTCAACTCCAGATAGTGTTCACTGTGATCAGAACAGCAGAAGGCATGATAAATATTGTCAACGTAAAGTTAGCCCCAGAGTAAATAGTGTAAGAAACACCCTGAGGAGACCTAGCCGTAAGCAAATCGCCATCTTTAGAACACATACAAAACGCAGTAACTGAAACTTCTTTAAGACATCCGGGTTGGCCTAAAAATCAGAAGATATACTGTCTGGAAGACGCACGTTACTATAATGCTCAACTACTCATCGGAAATCGAGTAGAAAAAATGCACAAAATACCAAGAGGTACAAAGAATTATATGCACCACGCTCCAACGAACTCTAAACAGCACTTTTGCAGGTGCAAATCAGGAGGGTTCGTAAAAATGACGGATTACCCACCGAAGCGTTTAAACATGATGGGCAAGCGTTACAAGTCAACTAAAATGTTCACATATTAGTAGGAAACCAGCTTAAGGACCACCACAGAGGCCGATTTGTTCGTATTTTACCGTGTGATTTCCGATGAAAAGGTGACACGCTTAGGGACTAACCTCCTTAGTGGCTGCTTGCCTGACCACTGCGGTTAATTCTTCCTGCTCGACAAGTTGTCTTCGTAAAGCCTGCATCTCTCGGGTGTGTCCACTTGCAGTTGAAGAGTTGGTGGAAAATACCGAATTACGGGTTTGAAGGTCTCGATATACACGCATGCCAGCGTTGATCGACTCCGGCTCGGAAGCCTGTGCAAAATGCAATATAGATGGCATTAAAGCATGTCTGCACAACAACTACTAGCTTCGCACACCATGGCCTACAAAACTGAAAAAGATGGGCGTTGGAGTTCACCTCTAAAACAGTCTACGAAAAACGAAAGCTTTCAAAATATAACTGGATGTTACTAATGCGAAAGAATCCGAGTGAATTTCGGATAGGAAAAAATATGGAACGACGTCTGATACATTATTATGACAAACTAGAGTGGAAGAAAAACAAGTACATGTAGAGTATACACTCATTTGCAAACTAAATTGGTTTTTCGAGAGACTCACCTAGAACCCAGCTGAATCTCTCGTTTGTGATGTTTCAAGGCAACTGTTCCAAGCAACCTTATGGGTAGTGCATTACAAATATACATGTATCGCGATTTCTCGAATATCGTAGCAGCCAGGAAATAGGTACCACAGCCCGAGTAATCCAAGTATTCGTAACTAGGCATTTGTCATAGATACAAGATAGTTAAATGATTATAAGGGAAAACTCTAAGTGACTACGTGATTAGTACCTTTGGTCGGACTGGAATATTCATCAATTTACATCGAAGGTGCCGAGCCAAAGCAAATCCAGCAAACACACGCCATCTTTGTCGAACTGCACTGGCCCTTGCCGATGCCAGTTGTTCACGAAGGCCTTGCAGTTCTGCTGAGTACAGTACCCCATCGTTCGCACCAAAAGCAGTCAAAGATCTCAGGAAGACACCGCTATCCATGCGCTAAAGCAGTGAAGAAATGCCTGATTAGAGAATGACGAGCACAACTGAGGACCGACATGTTCACATACTGTGTCTTTAGGACCACCGTTACGAGTGTTGGTTTCTTGCGAGTATAAGTGTTGAAACTCTACATTATCTCAGGTCGCCGATGAGCAGTTCGATTTTCACGTTTTTTGACACACTGCTGTTCCTGCTCCCTAAATTTCATTCAATAGACTTTGTTCGACGATGGAGCTCATCCGTCTCCTATTCCCCCTGTACAAAGTGCTCCTTAATTTCATCCCTTGCCACAGAGACCACCAAAGTGACTGTCATAACTGCCTCCTAGATCCTTCTAACTTGCTACAAGTTGCTTGTAGTTCGTATTGATGAGTCGCCTAAGCTGACGTTGTAGAATCAGGCAAATGAATCCTGTTGCTCTATCTGCTATTTGCCACAGTCCTGTTGACTAAGTCGACAACGATGTCCGAGCCATCCAAGTACAGGCTTTCCAACAAAACTCGCCTGTAAGTTCGGCTTTGCATGAGGTCGAATGGCAGTAATCATTCTAAAGAGTAATGGACTCCGTTCGTGAAATTTATCATACCACCCAGGATTACAGAGGGAGTAATGATAAACCCAAACATGGCACAGAATTGGATTGGATGAGACGAAGAGAGGAACAGAGGGAAATAATAATCGTAATATTCGGAGATTTGTGCAAGAACTTCGTGCTTTTATCATATACACATTTACGTTACATACACAAATGATCTTGAGAAGGCTTAGTGGTTAGAGCTTAATGGTTATTTAAAAACCACTGCACAATCATACGTATAAAGTGAATGGAATAACAAACCAAAGTGTTGGTTTGTTCTTAATTCCTGAAGAATCGTTCCCCGATATCCATCATCAGCATTGACAAAGATATGCAATACATACTGGTGCTGAACTGCCATAAATAGTACCTATATTTGCCTGAGCATCCTTCAAGAAACTCCTCCACGCTTGATTTCACATGTTCCATGTGAATGAAGTGGTGAGTCCGTCAGTGTGTCCTCGGATTCGTTTAGAGCTTGTTCCGTTTACAACTGAAAAACTTAGAACGGTTGTTTGTCTTTCTTGATTCGCTTCCCCACGTCAGGTGCTCACCAGGAAAGTGATCAGCTGTGACATCCTTACGGTGCCTAGCTGCCATGCCACCCGAGGAAAGCACGAGGGCTGGGATACTGCCAGGTTGACAAAGATTAGACAGGGGAAGTCGAGAAGCAGTGGTCGGGTTCGAGCCACTGATCTTCCGGTCAGTAAATTCGCGCTCTAACCACTGACAAATCTCGCCCCGCAAAATGATCACCAGACAGCCGAATGTTGAAGTATGGAACAGTTGAACCCGTTCAAAGTGGCCTAAGGTGTACATCAGGGTTCGAGGTAGCTGAGTGGTTAAGCACAAAACTTAGTGACTGGAATGTCGGTGGTTCGAACCTGACCACTGCATCTTGACTGCTTCTGTATAAGCTGGTGATAAATCAGATCATGTGCTTCCTTCGGGTGGCATGGCAACTAGGTAGAAATCGGACGCTACAATCAACGATTTTAGTAGGGGCCCAGTACTTCTGAATGGCCAAGCGAGGTGTGCGAATATTGCACCACCGCAAAGGTACGAGTTACGAACAAACAAGCACATAATCCGAATCCATTTAGGTGTCCCGAAGCAAACGAAAAAAAGTAATCGAACCAGGTCATCCATAGCTCTCTGTGTTAGGGGGTTGTTGGCCAAAATTCCGCATTGGAATCAGGAAGTCGATTCATGCACAAGACAAACTTTAGTAAATGATCGGCTGGAGTTTGTCACGTGATGAATGTCCAATGGTGGCTAAGGTATAAAAGATGGGTCCACAAGATGGCGGCCGCATTCCTGTGACAGCAATGGCGGCGGTCCGTGCTACTTCCGGTATTGATCTTGCCGAGGTGTTCAACGAGATCGTTGGTATGGGGCCATTCCCCACCCTTGGTGTTTTCCAGGCCAAGTTGTCGAACTTCCAGCGTCAAACTGGAACAGCTACTTAATTCAGAACAATATATCTAGAGAACGCCAGACAACAAAAAGGCGCCTGGAAATACCAGCTTACCACGACTTTTACTGAGCACCGTATGTATGCATTCATAATAAGCAGAGAAGCTGCCCTAAACCTAAGTAATTAACTGATAAATAACTTAGTATCGCTTATGCCCTTAGGCAAGCAGACTTTGGATGCTCCGCGTTGATTTACCTGGTGTATGATTTGGGAAGCGGTGGGATACCCGTGTCGAAGGTGAATATGCGGCACCTCCACATTACCTTTGGACATTTTCCCAGTGTATATTACACTAACCGCAGATTGAGTGCAGATCAGGAGTCAGAGATTTTCACGTTGATGGAAACATTCCATTCTAACGCGGAAATCCGTGATTACGTAAGACAACATTGGAATATAGTACTCGCTGACTATGACCTGAGAAACATGCGTAGCCGATGTCGAGAGGTCACGCAACCGTCCAACGAATTAGAGTGCATAAAGCACCTAATTGATAATCGCGGCTGTTTGTACGTAGTGCGGTGTTCAGAAACTAAACGTCTAAAGTTTCTAGGTTTCTCACTAAATGAACTGAAAGAAATGTTCAGCATGTATAACGAAGTACTGCATTTTGATTCGACCACGCAGTGTAATCGTGGATCGTATCACCTGTGGCACGTTGTCGTTATAGATTGTCGCGGGAAAGGATGAAGTGTTCACTACGGTTTTATTGAAAATGAAACCGCCGAATCGTATGAACGGGTTCTCCGGCATTTTTGTAAAACCATGCTGGAGGTCAGTAGGGTTCAAACGGTTATCTGCGACCGGCATACGGCACAGCTTGCCGCAATAAAGGAGCATCTGCCATGGGTGCACATCCACTTATGCTCATTCACGGATCGTCTGAATAGCATATCGGTAGCTTCACATGAGGACAAGGGTATTTTGCTAGAGTGCCTG